TCGTTAAAAGCAACTTCAATAAAATATACATGACTGTCATATAAGATATATCTTTTAGTGAGCAATATTCATCACGAAAACAGGTTTGTTTTACTGGATTTGCTTATAGTGCAAACTTATATGAATTTCCACTAGTTTCTAGATTTCTGTTCCCACCCATGACATATCAACAGGTTTTCACTATAAAATATATCAGACAATATTCATATACACAGTGATGGCATAATCCTCACTCAAATGATTTTGTTTCGCTCTCAAGGGCTCCCAATATCACGCATGATATTGGAATAAAATATCAAGCATGATATTGTTTTTACAAGCTCCTTTGATATTGCGAGACTATTCAGAACATGTAAAATTGCAGCCACGAGTTGACTTATCACAAAAATGATTCCTTTGCACATCGTTTTCTTAGAAAGAGAAAGCATAGTTTGCTATCTTTCTTTACGCTTCACAGATGGCAGACACGAAGTCACTGCTGCCTCAAGCTCAAACTCAACACAGTTTGGTGAGAATTGTAGCCGGGGAGTTTTGTTAGCATGATATCATAGCAACCGTATCACAGCTTGTAATATCATCGGCTGTTGTTTGCGTGTTGAGTTTTTGGTTTACGATACTCAAATGGATTATGCACATTGGTGAGATTAGATCTTTTGATATTTTCACAACACTGCATATACATCTTACCCATCGCTAACCACGTCAGAAGCAAGGGAATGTCATGTACTAAGTATGTGAAATTACGATAGAAATCATTCCATATCGTAGTTTTAGTTTTTAACTGATAATCCAATGGAATCTATCAATCATCACATAAAATGAATAAATCTTCTGACGTTGCTATGTTATAAGATGGATCCAATAAATCGTACATGTCGATTTGTTTCAGTGTATCACTCTGTTATTCATCCTGTCGATGCTTCTCTTGTTGCTTCCGAACCTTTCACTTGGAGCAGGAAATCATCCGATGACGTAAATTGCAGAATCTCTTAAATGACCAAAATTACCGTTTAAGTCAGCAAAATAATTGCTGCCTTTTTCAATCATTTATTTGTAGAATTTCAGTAATTTTATTTATGATTTACTGCTATTTAATTATTATATTTTTGGATTCGTTTTAAATGATTTTTATTCGAGGTTAAAATGTCTAGTGGCGAAGTAGCAGTGATTCTATTTTAATCAATCCTGAACTAGTCCTGGTTGAGCGCTAAATGCTTCCTGGTGATTTGGCCGGTTGGTGTGCCGGATAGCGTATCCATGTCTGGAGGTCTACAACAGACAATGTTAGTGACTGTTTTAAATCAGTGAAACATCTGGAATAAACTACCCAATTCCGTGTCAGTTTCTGCACTCCTGCGTTGGCTTCCAAACATTTTTATTAAATCCCCCCGGTCGTCGTTGTGATATCGACATCTTCCGTTGCTCCGGTTGTGGACCATAGCAGTAAGGGTGAGTTGGAGGCTCCAGCAAAAATATCTGTTGCGGATACCAAAAAAATTTTTTTGGTGCAACAATCAAATTTTGACACATCCTCACTGCACAGGCGCAGAAATAATTCAGTGATGTCAGCTACTTTAGAGATCACAAAAATTATGTACCATGGGTGCCAAACAGTGCCAATGAGTGAGCCATGGTGTGCCCTACTGTGTTTTTGGCACACTGTGCTGAGTGACCTACACGGAACGAAAATCAGTTATTTTATTCATGTGTTTCACTTATACATTTTTGCCACGGAGATGAACCAGCGTCTGACTGAAAATCTCCTTAATAAAGACAACCAACCAACCAACCATTTTTGCCAAAACATCAGCCTTATACATTCCATAAGACAAACCACATAGGTCCTATAAGAATTTATAAAAGATATGTGTGACCGATTATATATTTCATTTGACACATGATCTTCATTAACTTTTTGCAACGCGTCTGCTTATTAGTCGATTTATACATTTTATGAATAATCAGCAATTGAAATTTTCCAAAAGGTATAAGGAGATTTCTATCCGTGGACCCCTTGTGATGTTATTTATTTCCGTCGAATTCGAGAATTTGCGATGACAAAATTTCTTGAAAATTGAAAGTCAATCAAAACTTTTATGCAACTTTTTTACAATTGTGATAGGGTAAATGTCGGCTTCGGCACCCATTGACTGTTTTCGGCAACCAAAATTTAAACGTTAATTTCACTATGTTTTCCCATCAACACACTTCCCTGAATGCATCCAAACGATTCTTTAGTCTTTCAGCTTCAATCTGATTGTATGTGTACGTCTGAGCAGTCCTGTTATGGCAGATTTTTATTCAAATGAAGCATACGTACTCTAAAATGGGGTTGATTTCAAGTTGCCAATAATAGAACAGCTGGTTAACACGCAGTTCTAATGGGAAGGATGCCGAAGAAAACGAGGCTGCCGACAATAGCCACACTCACCTGAGAAGTTTTGAGCGTTGTAAAAACGCTTTCAAACACTTTTGAAGAATTCTGTCGATTAAAATGGATAGAGAAGCAAGCAGCAGATGAATGTAAACCAACAGACACGTCATATATGTGCGTGACGCTGAGAAAATGCTAATAGAAGTGTGGACACTGCTTAGATTGACGAGAATACGTAAATTCCCCTACTCTTTTTTCTTAATTTCTAAGAATAAATGTTGTTGACAATTAAGTAATGTTTTCATCCCAATAGTATAGAAAACGCGAGGGGGACGACTCTACATATCTACGATGCAGGAAATATTGTGTTTTGATGTGGCTAGCTACGCGTACGCTGAGTAGATAGAAAGAACATTTATCATGGTTTTGAAGATTTCCTGCAAAAAGATGATGTGCGATGCAAGTAGATGCGAGAAATGAAAGAAGATTTTTCGTAGATTTATTCACTAGTGTGAGATTTTTGGAGCATCTAGAATTGAGATTTAGATGTGTCGTTCCCCTCGAGAAAACGTACACTCAAAAAAAAAATGCCACGTTCCATTCATGTGTTTTGGAATATGAAGACCATTCATTGCTTGTCACCATAGAATCATGTGCTTTTCCCTCGGATGTCATGAGATTTACACAAAAAAATAATATGTTTTTATTGCTTATGAAATCAATACTAACCACACATTGATTTCATGTGTTTACTTATCGAAATCCATGAGATCCTCATATAATTCTGCGCTACTGTTTTCCACTAGTGTTTTTAACGTGTATGACACATGAATCGTACGGATCTCACTATAATGATGAGAAGAGTGCCTAAAGTGTCAAAACAAACATGGAAGGCACCAGCAACTTTGCGAGGAGAGTAAGTTTGTTAGTGGAGTTAGGTTTTCCTAACGAAATTATAGAAATTATTAACCGTGAGTACATTGTTTGTATGATAAGATATATTTATAACATTAATGCAATATTTTCATTACAGAACACGGCATTGATCCAACGAAAAACAGGATTAGAGCATCCAGGGCATAGGTTAAGCTATCTTCTACGATTAATATACTGTACAAACAATATGAAAATGTAAATTAATGTATCAAAATTGAAATGTATCGTGTTTATCATTTTTACATACTGAACCCCGTTCAATAATTATCTTTTAAGTAGACCGTAGTTCTTTATATTGAGTTTCAAGCGTATCAGATAACAATTTTTCTGTTTGTATGATACTATTGGAATGCAGTATGCATGACTACGATTTGCTTAAATGAAATTCAGTTATCTATTTCAGAGCAACAAATCAACTTGGAATCCAATAGTTATACTATTAGATTGCTACAAGGTCTTTCATCAAATTCATGTGCATCGTGTTTAAATTTAGCATGTGTTGTAGAACATATTCATATGCAAAACATATCATGGTAATAAATCATGCACATGACTTTGACATTTAAATCACATGAAATTCATGTGTGCTGTAAGTGAATGGAGCATGGATAAGGTATGGCTGATTTCATAAGTTAGACATTTGAAATGAATGTGTTTGCCACATTGCGCCAATTCAAATGTGAAACACATGAACGGCGCGTGTAGATTTTTTTAAGTGTAGGTTTCCGTTTTTTTTCCAGCAAACAGCAATTCAAAACTAATAGTTCCTAGTAGGGGAACAGGGAATAGAATGAACCGATCTTTTCAACAGTGAATTCATTCAAAATCTATGAATGTAAATTAATTAAAAGTTAAAAGGTACATTGGTTGAAAGTCCTGTGCGTTGAAATGATTGATATTTGCATTCATAAGCACTTAAAATCGTCAAATTTTCATTTCACCCTGTATGCCCATTTTACCTCCACTTCCCCTAGCATTCAAATTTTAGCGAAGGGTAAGAATAAACATCATTCAGAGCGAAAAGTATGACAATTCATATTTAGAAACTGAAAAATTTAGTGAAATCTGCAGGCTGACAAAATCGGGAAAAAAAACCTAACAAAATCGAGGGTAGACAAAATAGGGAGCTGATAAAATTTGGAAAGCACTGTAATACAATTTTTCAAAGCAAATTTGCATGTGACACCTCACGTTTCGACGTTTCTTGAATCTAGCTATTTCCACAAGGGCCGGCGGCTGTTGATCGATGCTAAACAAATATGAATCTTTTCTAATAAACAAGTTTTGCGAACGTCTCTTTGCACATTAGATATGAATAATTCGATTGCTAATTGGCACCTTGTAAAAATGCAAACAAAACTTGAACACTGTACACGTGACAAAGTCACACATTCCCATCGTCTAGCGATCTAGCCCCGCTCGAAAGCAACTTGTTTTCAATCATCTGACAAGCCTGGCAATCAGCGGGATCATCAAGCAACCGGTTTGATGCAACAAATTAAAACAGTCAATTGACGGTCCTCAATCAAAACCGTCTACCAGCTGATTCAATTCCACGCGTTCGTTTTAACCCTCGGTAACCCCAACCACTCTAACCAATTAAAAAGCCCTAATCGATGTCGTCAAAACACAACAGTTGCTGATGCTACTCAATGATCATTGTGTTTGTTTGTTTGTTCTTTCGTTTCAGTGTCTTGTAACATGTGCAGTGTTGCTGCTGGCAGCAGCATGCGGTATGCCAATTGGCTACTCGGCAGTACTGCTTCCTCAGCTCTACAACGTCAGCGAGCCGCTGCTCATCGATATGGAGATGGGCTCGTGGATTGGTGAGTAGCATAATATGAGATATATGTAGCTCCTCTATCGGCCATAAGTCTCGTCAACAACAAAGGCAACGACGACGGAGACGACTTGCCCAGCGTGCAACTGTTTGAGCAAGGTCCGACCCCCCAACGACGACCATCCGAGAATAATCTCTAATGAGTTGAAAATAAAAAGCATTAATTCTAATGTGTACAAATGTGGATACAGCCCGATACGGCTATGTAGGGAAAAAACTAGGTCAAACACAACCACTTCTGATAAAACCGCATATTCTACATAGACGGTACGGGTAGTATGCAGTGGGTGACGTAAATCAACGTACTACACGCGCCCAAGAACTTTTCGTGTTTGAATTGTTGGTATATTGCCTATATACTATGTATGTGCTTTCTTGAAGATCAAATTTCATTAACTCTGAACTTGGTAAGGTGGCTGGCCGTCGTCGTCGCCATCTGATACAACCACCAAAATTGCCCAAATTTAAAAGATTGTTCTATCGCATTCCACCCTGTCACCGGGCCTTGATAAGAATTTATTATGCACGCATGTATTATACACGCAACTGGACAAGTGTTGGTATATTCATAACAAAACAAAACAGTTGGTTTATATAAAAGTGGAATGCATCCATAGACATGTCCATATATCTTGGATAACGGAGGAATGCAAATTTGACGGAATTCGCATTGGGAAGTAAATTCCTGTTTCTACAGAAAGAGAAAGAAACTAAGAACACTGAAACCAAGCGATACCCATCTAGGATTAACTGAATTCTACATTTTTTTGTGTTAATCGTTTTTAACGACCGTATTATCTTATTCTTCATGGTTTTAACCGAGGGGGACGACTCTATCTACGATGCAGGAAAGATTGTGTTTTGCTGTGACTAGCTGCGTGCACGCTGAGTAGATAGAAAGAAGATTGATGACGATTCTGAAGATTTCCTGCAAAATATTATGCCCGATGCAAGTAGATGCGAGAAATGAGAGAAGATTTTTCGAAGATTAATTCGCTGGTGTGAGATTTTTTGAGCATCTAGAAATGAGATTTAGATGTGTCGCCCCCTCGGTTTTAACCACGGTTGTTAATCGATAACCGTTATCAATTTAATTTTAAATTGGCTCCCTACTTGACTAGCCTATTGGTCCCAAGCAAATCGATTAACGTACCCCATTCTAATATAAATTCCAGTACTACACTATGTTTGTTTTGATTCACTATGAAAGTTTGACAGATAAAATGAGGGATTAGTGGATTTTCCTATGTTTCCAGGGTTGAATCGATTAGCTTGGGACCGAAGAGAGTATCAGAGCTGAGCCAAAAAGTTGAGCACGTTTCTTCGGGACCTTCTGGTCTTAGAGTTTCCTCTATGGTAGCGCTGCGCTCGAGTGAATGTGGAAGCAACGTATAGAAAAATGAGCAAATACACAAACCATTATTCTGAGGATGGAACCTTTGCTATCGAATTCGTTCGGAGCGTTTACTTTTGAGCGACAGATGACGCGATTCTGCCTGGGCCATACCGGACGTATGAGAAAATGGAAGAGTTGCCAGTCTTCTTGATATGTTGTCTTCGCTTACAGATAAATCTTCCAGCTCAAACCTTTGTAGGGGTAAGAAGTGGGACCATCATCATCATCATCATCATCATCATCATTATATTTATTGATTCCTGTCAGCAATCGCTTCTTCTTTCTGAGCATCTTGAATTCACTCTGAGAGCACCACACTCGCATTTTTCTCTACATAAAATATAATGTTATTAGGATCTTCGATAATTGTGATGGTCGGATTTCTGATTTCTCGTTCGAGGGAATATTAGTTTATTCAATTTTTGGTTTTGTTGAATCGGTGAACAAGCCGTTTTAGCAACCCACAAACTGATTGATTATAGTTGTCTCGAAGAGTTAACTGAATATTTTGACATTCGACAATTCGACTAAACTTCCAGATAATGGGGGTTATTCCGAGAGTCGAAGTGACATTTGTCACTAGTGAAGTGAGAAAAGTCACGTCGTGGTGACGTGACTCTCTGTGCAAATCAAATGGAGAGTCACGTCACCACGACGTGACTTTTCTCACTTCACTAGTGACAAAAGTCACTTCGACTCTCGGAATAACCATCAATAGTTTTATGTTGTGAGAATTTTGAGAACATTGAGAAATACAGATGGATCTAACCGAAAATATTTTACACTGATAACAAATACTGAGTACCCTTAGGCACAGAGAACAGACGTAGAGGCTCGAATTAAATTTCTGTGAAAATTTGTTTAAAGATTCCTATTCGATTTAAGCGCCACCAACGCCGACTTTCCCACTTTAAACCCCTCTGTGACAACATGACGGCGCTGGCGTTGCGTAACGGCGACGTTCCCATTTATCTTTACACAAGTTTCTGGTGGAAGTTGGACATCTGTTATCTGTGCTCTAGGTACATACACTCAAAGATAAATTAAATCAAAAAAGCTTAAAATGTATGCAGATTCCAGCTTCATCTTATTGAGTCCGAGCCATGATTACTTCGACAGTAGTCATGCATGATTAAATTCGAAATAATCTTTCCAGTATTAAATATTATTCTTTTTCAATACTGATATTATAATCAAAACAGATTAAAATTCAATCAGAAATTATTAAAATAGAATCAAAAATGATTAAAATCTATTCAAAAAAAGATAATCTACAACCTAATCAACCATGATTAAACTGGGATTAATATCAGATGCTTATTTTTTAGAAAGAGAGGATTAATTTTTAATCATTCGGTATGATTAAACTGAGTTTTATGTCAAATTGATTAAATTTCAAGCAAAATGGGAATAGTTCAATTTATCAGTGTAGGCTCGAGCAACAACAAGCGAATGAAATTGAAGAATCAAAGTGACGATTAACTCACAGATGGCGAGTGATGGTAATGACGTTTTGATATCTGTCAAATTGAATGACATTTTTTTTAGTGCATCATAATTTTTGTAATTTAGGATCTGAAAATTAGTTGTTGCTTTGCTTCGTCAATATCCTTTCAATCTTCCAAATGCTGAATTAAAGCTGAAATCTGGGCTGATTAGAAGAATTTGAGAAAATTAAAGATCAAACGTTAAAATTTAATGGAGAATCTACGGGTTTAATAAAGCCAATAACCAGAAAAAGATTTTTGAAATCTTGAACATAAAAAATCGAATTCTAGGGAAATGTGATTGTTTCTTCATTAACACTCCGAACATGATGCCTTCCTGGTAAAATGTGTAACGATGTGTATCGATTTTAAATCTATTGATACCGAATAAATCTTTAATGTGGACCGTACACGATTGCTTTTATTGACAATAATCGTATTGTCAATACATTCAATATTGACGTCAATACATCGGTATTGACAATATTTCTGTATTCACATCATCAATATTAATGTCAATAATTCCCCTTCGCGTCAATATATTGATACGTGTGGGGTTTGCTTAAAGTATCGTGCACCCTCGTTAATCTGGCCGTTCTTAAGGGGGTATTCCCAATCTTTTGCCTTTTTTCGGCCTGTTTTTCAATTAATTTTTTTCAAGGAAAATGAATAGTAATGCGCCTAACTCTTTGGGATTCTTGTTTATTGAACATTAAAGTTTACAAATAAAAATTTTTCGACATAAAAAAAGACATTATTGACGTCACAAAATGGCGGCAAACAGACCCCTGTTCGCCGCAAACGCCTGGACGGGCGAAGACTTTTCTCGGAACGGCTTCATCTGAAACAGATTTCGTGATGAAATTAATAATCTGCATAAGATTCTCTGGAGCTTCTCCCGTTGGCAGCAAAAAATCTTGCAAATTAACAAAATGGCGGCCAGATGAAAAAACAGGCGATTTTTAGCCCGCTTTTTTTCAGCTTTAAGGTGCTTCAAACAATGTTAAATGTTAATATTTTTGGCTGAAAGTGGGAGAAGCTCCAAAGAATTTAATAAGAAACAAAATGCGCAAAGATTCAAGTCAATATCTCTTATAGTTTCTGAGAAAAATCTTCGCCCGATAAAAAAAATGTGGTTTCGAGAAAAACGCGTTTAAAGTTTTGACTTTAGTTAAAACCATTTGGGGGTTCTTACCATTAGTCAGCTATGCCTGGACACCGAATTCGCTGATCGGAAAACGGCTTGGGGGGATGAAAGTATATAGTCTAAAGTACAAAAAAACGTGAAAAAAAAAATTTGATTTTTTGAAAAAAAAGATCGGGAATACCCCCTTAATATGCACGCCGTGCAAACTAAAAATTGCTCGAACGTTATTTAGCAATGGAGTAAAGCGAAATGAAACGATGCGAAACGGAACGCAGAATCATTTATAAAAAAATCTACATTTGCCAGCAACACTGACTGGGTGTATACTATGGCTTACCTTCCCTTCTAACATAATTCCAAGACATTTATGAGGGGTCGTAGAGTTCTCTGCATCTCTCTTAAGTAAATGTTGGACCAGAGAGAATAGGTAGAGAGGCGAAGAGTGAAAACCGTGGAAACGGCAGCACTCTTTTTATTATGATTCCATCCTACAAGTTCTGGCAACTGTTTCTGAAGGGCACACTTCAAGTGACTTTTTTCAACCATCTATTTGTGTTGTTTTTACCCGCGTCAGAATTGTTTTTTGACGTTGGAGAACGTCTTTCGGCAACATACGGGGGTACAAAATTGAAAACAGTCATTTTGGATGCGTTACGAAAAACGAAAAGATTTTGAACCATAATAACTCAACCGTCTCTCGATAGATTTACGAGATAATGGCATCAATCGATTGGAAATATTTCTAGCAATTTGCTGAATGTTTTAAAACTATTGATTTCATTCTGTAAACTATTGAAAAATGGTTAAAAGTAAACCATTGTCTAAAAATGGTGAAAATCGATTGATTTTTTTTATATTCTTATACTTTCTCCAACCGAGACATCAGATGCGAGTATCTGACACCTCTGATATTTTCTGTTCTACTTTATAAGCGTCCAACAAGGTCGCCTGTTCCATCATTGTCTATCCGATCGTCGACCCAACAGCAGAGCAGCAGTACCAGAGCAGCGGAAGCAGAGCAACGGCAGCAGAGCAGCGGCAGCCGAGCCTTGGGGCGAAAGGGCAACTACGCCGAGTGCGTTGGTGCCAGTGCTCCGGTATACTGGGCCGCCGTCATGGAATGCCCAGCTGCTGCAGTTCTCAGTCGGTCGTATTCACCGTATGCTCTGCAAGGGCAACTACGCCGAGCGCGTTGGAAAAATGGCCCTTTTCAGGGCCACAACATTATCAAGAAAGAGTTTAACGATTAATTTTCTAATGCCTTTCCGACACTTTTTTCATATGACTTTCATCGGCCTCATGATATTCATGTGATTTTGTGGTGGGATTTTTAGCAATGTTAAATTCACATGGTTTTCATCCATTAGATACCTATGTGGTAAATTTTTTGAGTGTATGCTTCGGCAATCAAAATATTGAATTTCATTCCGCTGGCCATAAGTCCAGGGCCACCGCAGCTCTGCCAAGGTAGGGGAAATGGATCTAAGATTGGGCCCATCGCTAAAAATCTGCTATTTACCAATCTTATCTATATGAACGCGTCGTTGGGACGGTACTGATGGATATTTTAGGGTGCTTTTGAAAATTTAGTCGATAGTTTAATTTTAGATATGGATGGAATAATAACACTGAACTGGTTAATTTCTAGGAATTCAAGACACGCCTACACTAATCAACCAACATCGAACCTACTCGATGAGGATATCAATTAACTAGGGAGAGCATGACAGAAAGATTCAACCATGTTTTTAATGGATTCATTTTATCACTCCTTGCGCACCACGAAGGAAACTGTTTTGAAAACGAAACTCTTTACCATCAAATTGGTCGTCCTGAAAAGGACGGATTTTGTTAAAGGGCGGGAACTTCGATCGAATTTAGGCCTTCTTTTCGGTCTTCTTGGGCAACAGGACGGCCTGGATGTTTGGCAGGACACCACCCTGAGCGATGGTCACTCCGGAAAGAAGTTTGTTCAGCTCTTCGTCGTTGCGGATGGCCAACTGCAGGTGACGTGGGATAATTCGGGTTTTCTTGTTGTCACGGGCGGCATTTCCTGCCAACTCGAGAACTTCAGCGGCCAGATACTCCATCACGGCAGCCAGGTAGACGGGAGCACCGGCTCCAACACGCTCGGCATAGTTGCCCTTTCGGAGTAGACGGTGAATACGACCGACTGGAAACTGCAATCCAGCGCGGCTCGAACGGGACTTTGCCTTTCCCTTGACTTTACCTCCTTTTCCACGTCCAGACATATTTAAATGTAAACAAGGTGATCTGATATACGAATGACACGAGCAGATGAACGCTGAAACTGTAATGATGACATTTCGACCGTCGAGTGATCTTTATTTTAGTTTAACTTGGACGATTACCATATAAATTTTTACTAAGTGATTTAATTGCTTTCTTCATCTTTAGGTATGGGCAAAATTTAAAATTTGTTTTACAGGATTAGTCCTAGACTTAGTACACGGTCGACCACCTTGGTGGGATTGGTTTGTTTTGTTTTTAGAATTTGAAGAGAAACTACTTAATACTACTATTTACAGCTTAAAACTAACCTACTCTACTATATACACTTAACCTACTATGTACAAATTGCTTATTAAAGCATGTTCAGAAAGATTGCATTTTTGAATAAATTTAGTTGTCATATCATCAATTTTGGAATCTACTTTGGGAATTTCTGCCTCTTGATGGAGGTCTGCTATTCTTGTGTCGAATGGACGATCTAGGATCATCCTCAACACTCTATTCTGTGCAACCTGGATTTTGTTCCTGTGGGTCTGAGCGCACGATTCCCACACCGGGGCGGCATAGAAGATCGCGGGGGCTATGATCTGTTTGTAAACAGCCAGTTTGTTTTGCCTTGAGAGGCGGGATCTGCGGCAAATGAGCGGATACAAACACCTAACCAAGGCGGAGCACTTAACTAGGGTTTTCTCTATGTGCGAGCGGAACAGGAGCTTCTCATCAAACAACATCCCGAGATAAGTAACATCAGTGGACCACTCGACCCTTGTACCATCCATTATTACGGTACAGGAGGGAGACGGTTTAAGTTTTGGTGATTGTCTGTGGAGGAACATGATCGCTTGGGTTTTCGAGGCGTTGATTTTGATTTTCCACGAGGTGGCATAATCAGTAAAGGTGTCAAGGCATCGTTGCAGCTTGTTCGTAATTTCACGAGGCATCCTACCCTTGACGGCTATCGCGGTGTCATCTGCGAACAGAAAGAACACGCAACCGTCTCCTAGAGGAGGGATGTCCGACGTGTAGATGCTGTAAAGCAGTGGTCCCAGCAGACTCCCTTGCGGAACACCTGCTGGGATCGGAAATTGTCCCGAAAGGGAACTATTCAACGACACCCTGAACGACCTTTGCTGGAGATAGTTACGGGTGATTTTCACAAGGTATGGTGGAAAGTTGGAGTTACAAAGCTTGTATATAAGTCCGTCGTGCCAGACATTGTCAAACGCCTTTTCGACGTCTAACAAGGCCATGACTGTGGACTTGGATACAGCTTTGTTACTTCGGATGTTATTCATCACCCGCACTAGCTGATGATTGGTGGAATGCCCCTTGCGGAACCCGAACTGTTCCGGAAGAAGAATGTCATGTTCCTCCACAAACTTGTTTAGTCGGCTGAGGATCAATTTTTCGAACAGCTTGCTCAGCGCTGAGAGCAGGCTAATCGGTCTGTAGCTTGACGGTAGTGAAGGGTCTTTCCCAGGTTTGCGGATCGGGATGATTTTTGCCACCTTCCAGATGCTTGGAAAGTAGTGCAGCTCCAAGCATCTGTTGAGGATGGCAGCCAGCAGCGAGTGGACCCTCGGGCTGAGATTTTTCAACGCTAGGTTGAATATTCCGTCAAACCCGGGAGCCTTCATGTTTTTACTATATTTCAGCGCTGAGCAAATTTGTTCCTCTGTAAACCGTTCTTCTGGAGGGACGGCACAAGGGGAGGTATCTAACGTCTGGACGCACTGCACAACCTGGTTCTCGAGTGGACTTGGGATTGTAGAGCCAAGCAAATGCGATTGGGCAATGTGCTCCCCAATTGCATTGGCCTTCTCTTCGTTGGTGATAAGCCGTTCGTCATTGACTCTAAGTGGTGGAATGGGCTTGGGGTGAGACTTCAGCACCTTGGCAACCTTCCAGAATGGTCTGGAACGGTCGTCCAGGTTCTGAACGAGCCGCCCGAAACTCTCGTTCCGGATTGAGACCATTCTGGAAGCGATCTGCCGATTCAGATCGACCATTTCGTATTTACGCTGCAGATCCCCAGTCCGCTGAAACTGGCGTCTACGAACATTTCTGAGCCGAATCAAGAGTTTGGTGTGGGAATCAATTGCTTGAAACTTACCCCTCACAGGAACTCGTCGAACGCACTCTTCGTCAGCCACGGATATGGCTTGATGGAGACCCTCCAGAGCCCGGTCGATGTCCTCCACTGTGTCGAGTGGTGGGTTGTCGTCGATGTGGCGGTCGACCACGCGTCGAAACTGGACCCAGTTGACTCGATGGTAGTCCTTCCGCTGGCACGGTGCAGGGGCCACGTTGTAGCCCAGCTCGGTCAGCACCGGTTGGTGGTCCGAACTCAGGTCGTTGACGGCAACCGGCTTGGCTAATCTGGTGTTTGCCAAGAACAGGTCCAGCGTCGATGGGTTGCCCGCCGGTGATGTGAAGGTTGGTTCGTCCGGAAACCAGACGGAATAGAGACCATGCTGGGAATGGTCGAATAGCAGGCGGCCGTTTTGGTTCTGCTGGTAGTTCCGCCAGGCCTCGTGCCGGGCGTTCAGGTCCCCTCCGATTACGAAGCGGGCATTGGTGCGGGTTATGATGGCAAGGTCGTTCTTGAACTGCTGTGCTGTACCATTGCTAACGGTACATTGCCGGGGGCAGTAGACAACGATGAACCGGACGTTTCCGGTCGATGTTTCCACCTCAACGCCGACGGCCTCGATGATGGAAGTGCGGTAGTGGGGTAGGGTGCAGTACTTGATGCCTTTCTTGATGATGACCGCGACACCGCCCCCCCTGGAGCTGGTGCGATCAAGCCGGACAATGCTGTGGTCGGGCAGCCAGAAGCTGTCACCGGTCTTGAGGTGGGTCTCGGTGAGAAGGCCCACGTCGATGTCGTGCTTGCGGAGGAAGTCTGCAAGCTCAATGTTTTTCGCCCCTACGGAGCGAGCGTTCCAGTTGGCGATCTTTATGGGTTCACGGTCCATAATTAGCGACGAAGGAGATGATAGCTTGGAGCTGTTGTGTTCTTGTTGCGCAGGTGCGCTTGATGATGATGGCCTGGGCCAACAGTGTGACGATCTCATCCGTTGACAGCGGAGAATCGTCTGTAGCTTCACCGGTTGTACCGGCCAATCCCGGAGCAGGGGGATCCGTCGATGGGCCGGAGGCTTGACTGGGTACTGCAGCGGCAGCCGACTGGGCAGCAGCCAACTGTTGGTTGAGCGGGAGCGGCGCCAACACTGGAATTGGCCGTGGTTGGACCGGTGATAACGGAGGAAAGTTCTGCGCGTTGTTTTCCGGGACCTTCTTGCGACCGGGCTGGTTGTTGGACGAGGCCTTCTTCCGGATCTCGGCGTATTCGGCCCGCTTCGGACAGGCCTTACTCGTGGCCTTGTGGGCAGCACCGCAGTTGGCGCATGTGGGAGCGGCTTCCTCGATGCTGTCGCAGTCGTCGATCTTGTGGTTTTTGCCGCATTTGATGCAGCGGCTGGCCATGCGGCAGTTCCTGGTGCCGTGCCCGAACAATAGGCAGTTCGAGCACTGAGTGACGCCACGGTGGGTTGGCTTATACCGCTCCCACTTCACTACGATGTGGAACAGTGTGCGTGTCGTATGGAGATCCTTCACAGTTGTGGAGTTCTTCTGCAGATGGACCAAGTAGAGCTGGTCACGATACTTGATGGCCTTGCTGCGGGTCATCTTGTGGATTTCGACCGGCTTGAGGCCGTTCGCCTTAATCTCGTCCATTAAGGTGGTGGTGTCCATGTCGTGGAGCCCGCGCAGCACCACTTTCAGCGGCTTGGTGGCCTCGACGTCGTGGGAGAAGTACTCCAGCTTCATCCTGTCCAAGAGGGCCTGGACTGCGTTGTAGTGATTTTCGGCCGAGACCATCAGTTTGTAGCCTTCCGTGCACCGTTGAATGGTGCAGCGAAGGCCCTGCTTAATGTAGAAATCCAGCTGCTCCCATAGCCCGGGAGGGAAGCCCTTCACATAGAAGGGTGGCAACTTAACTTTTTTAGGCACCGTCTCAGGGTCCGACTGCGGCTGGGCTCCGTTCTGCAGGGCGGAGAACGGATTGTTGCTCAGCAGCTTTTTTGCTGCCGATGCGGTGGCGCTGATGTCTTCAGGTCTGGGTCGTTTAGTTCCGGGAGGCCCCGGCTGCGGGTCCGCAACGCCTGTCGGGACGGGCAATGGGGTTTTCTTCTGCTTCTTCTGAGCTGGCTCGGTGGTCGCGCCGTCTCCTGGGAGAGTCTGTTTTCCCGGTAAGCCGGCACTCGCGTTACCGCGCGATTTCTTACCCATGGCTGGGTCAGCGAGAGCGTCACTATACAACGCGGAGCTAATTCGACTTGCGAACGAACGAACGAAACTAGAGAGAATTCAAATCGACTGAACTGCTCAACAGTCTGGCAGCGAATGTCATGATGACATTTCGATCGTCGAGGGTGGTCTTATACCTGCGTCGAGTAGCATATTACGAATACAGGGACGGTACAATAAATACTGTGGGTAGCAAAATACTGAAAATGGGATGAGTGTCGGTTGTCTCTACGGGCATGAAACGAGACAGCGTTGCCAGTATTCCTGATTTATTTGATTTTCCAGATTTTCAATCGTCTTGCCAGATACTTACCCAGATATAATTCATTTATATGTTATTACATTTATTTCAAGATGAAAATCGGTTGGACATGAGCGTTTCCGAATTCAGTCCAATAGAGGCGATGGGGGCAAGAAGACCATACGGGGCGAGATGGGCCACCGTTTGTTTGGGCATAATACCTATTAACTCATTCTATTTTTTTTTACAAACTTGTTGAAAATGCTTCTAATATGCATCTCCATGACAACCGTATCAAAATTCAATTACATGTCTAAGATAATAATGGAAATGTAACATTAGCTCTAAATCTCTAGAATATTATAAGATATGCAGTCAAGAAAACAAGCATCGCATTCACTATATTACATTTTACTGATCCGCTGGTTCTACAGCGAGCAATACACGTAACTGTTGCTAAAAGAACTTATGTTTCTATTTCACTTGATTCCTGCATGTTATTTTCTAGTGAAAACCTGTCAAAACCTTAACTTTTACTGGGGTGCTCATATTGCCCCGTATGGTTGTTGATCGGAACAAAAACTGAAATTTAAAAAACATAATCATTTATTCAGTCTGTCATTCCAAAACCACAACCAAAACGGCCCTTTTCAGGGCCACTAAAAATTCGACAAAGAGTTAGTTTTGAAGACAATTTCTTTCCAGAATATCACAGTTACAGTCAGACAGAGTAGAGCAAACCCAACAACATCAGCCCAACAAAACGGCCCTTTTCAGGGCCACCAAACTTTCGCAAAAGAGTTATTAAGGAATATTCTTAAAATATAATATACACAATTAAGTACAACACATAACAGACGTTATCCAACGCCAACCCTGCGGTCGTATCTAGTATACAACCCTTCCAACTTTTTTTTATTTCCCATGTCAAATTTAGCGGGAAACGGAGGTCCAGTACTGTCAAAAACTACGCAATGAAGAGGTATTTTGACAGTTTTACAACTTTTATCTTAAAAAAATCACTTTTAAAATTACAAGTCGAAAGTGAAAGAAACATTTTTAAACCAAAAATATAAGTTTAATTTTGAAAACTTTCATAGTTGAAACTAGAGTCGGTGTATAATGAGTCACGCCAAGAGAAAAACAGTTGAACTCGCATCACGGTTTTCGAAAGATTCCCTTTCTTTTCACTTGGCAACAGAGGACTTCTACATCAGCTTCAAATGACTTCTAGCGAGAAAAAAAAAATAGCGGCTGTAGTAAATCATTATATCAGTGATTTAGTCAAATTATCTCAACCAAAAATAGTAGAAATTCTCATAAGTGATCATTACCAAACGTATCCCATGACAATTTATTGCTCACTGCGAGTTTATGATCATTTCTTCGATTATATTTTATATTTTATTGCAATACCTTTCGTGGACCTTTCATAGCATCGTAATGTTTGTTTACTCTGCACCTGAGTAATGCGAACTAACTCAAAATGCTTGTCATCTGGGAGCCGAGTCAAACTGTCAAACGGGAGCCAAACATTCAAAAGAGCTCAGAAGTCACGTAGGTAGTTACTGTTTGAACCACAAGTAAAGGTGTTGTCACCTACTGAAAACAAATTAATAATTATAATTATGAAACTGTCGAAACATCAACCTTAGTAGGCGGATAATGTAAATCATCGAGCGTGATGCTCGAAAAAGTGTTTTTATTTGATATTAATAATGCCAAAACTGGGTTGCTGAAACAAGAATGTAATCAAACTTTATAAGAGTCATGTGAGCTTTGTGGGCAGGTGCACTCCCATCACCATGTATACGTTATTTTTGGAGCAGAGGAGGAGGAGCCAAGAGTTCATTTGATAGCATGTATATACAATTTCGTGAGCTGTTTCAGCAAAACAATTTGAAACTTCGGAACATTTTCTAGCTCACTTGAAAAATAAAATCGGCTGAGTTCGCAGTACTCAGCTCTGCACGATAGGTAGCCGGTTTGACAGCTCAATAGGTAGACTTGGCTTCACTCTTGGCGTGACTCATTATACACCGACTCTAGTTGAAACTACGAATTTTGGGAAATTTTAATTTGATTATGCATTATTTTTATAGCAACAATTTTTGTTCTTTGTGTGTGCGTTGGAGAAAATACTTATTCTGATGTAAACAAACGGTTTGGTTGACGTTTCTTCTCGAACTCGCGTGGCACACTCTACATTGGTGGTGCATTAAAAAGGCGTATATTGATGGTTTAAATAACAAACGAAGTGACAGACGACTAACTGGCGAAGAAATCAATTAAAATAATGCGGTTCGCTGTAATAGAATTTTCTTAGAAGCTTCTGCCATCATCCACCAGATGGGATACTATTTTTGTTTTGGTTTTGCTCAAAGTTGATTTTGTGTACAATGATTCTTTGACAGTGTGCAAAGCACAAACGAAGTGACAGACGGAGCGGCTCGAAAACTTTGGTGACTAACCTGCTATCACAAACGAAGTGACAGACGACTAACTGGCGAAGAAATCCATTAAAATAATGTGGTTCACTGTAATAGAATTTTCTTGGAAGCTTGTGCCATCATCCACCAGATGGGTTAGTTTTTTTGTTTTGATTTGAACAAAGTTGATTTTGTGTACAATGATTCTTTGACAGTGTGCAAAGAGTGTATCATTTTGTCATTTTTTTATGCTTTTCAGTTTTTAGTAGTGTGAAAGAGATAGAACCAAAACATTCTAATACATTTGGTGAAAATACTAGTACAATCCAGTAGTAGTGTTGCCATGTGGTGCAATCCAGTAGTAGTGGTGTTGCCATGTGGTACACTTAAAAATTGCAATAGCAGGTTAGTCACCAAAGTTTTCGAGCCGCTCCGTCTGTCACTTCGTTTGTGCTGCTATTGCATTTTTTCAGTGTACCACATGGCAACACCACTACTACTGGATTGTACCACATGGCAACACTACTACCAACAATCAATACGAAACTAACGATTTTAAATTGGCTCACCACTTTAGTAGCCTATTGGTCCCAAGCAAACGATTAACGTACCCTATTCTAGTTGAAATTCTATTACTACACTATGTTTGTTTTGATTCGCTATGAAAGTTTGACAGATAACATCAGGGGTGTGTGGATTCATGCAGAACATGCAGGGGTGAGTGAAATAGCTTGGGACTGCTTGGGACCGTTGTTCTGGTACTGAGTGAGCCAAAAATAATGATGATTTTCTTCGGGACCCAGTGGTCTTAGAGTTACCTCTATGCTACTACTAGATTGAACTAGCATTTTCACCAAATGTACTAGAATGTTTTGGTTCTATCTCTTTCACTCTACTCAAAACCGAAATGCATAAAAAAATGACAAAATGATACGCACTCTTTGCACACTGTCAAAGAATCATTGTACACGAAATCAACTTTGTTCAAATCAAAACAAAAAAACTAACCCATCTGGTGGATAATGGCACAAGCTTCCAAGAAAATTCTATTACAGTGAACCACATTATTTAAATGGATTTCTTCACCAGTTAGTCGTCTGTCAGTTCGTTTGTGGTGCAAAGAGTGCGTATCATTTTGTCATTTTTTTATGCATTTCAGTTTTGGGTAGAGTGAAAGAGATAGTATTTTGCTACTACTGGATTGAACTAGCATTTTCACCAAATGTACTAGAATATTTTGGTTCTATCTCTTTCACTCTACTCAAAACTGATGAAAACAAATAAAAAAATGACAAAATGATACGCACTCTTTGCACACTGTCAAAGAATCATTGTACACAAAATCAACTTTGTTCAAATCAAAACAAACTAACCCATCTGGTGGATGATGGCACAAGCTTCCAAGAAAATTCAGTGCCAACATTTCAAAGGGGCGTAATTGCTTTTGTAAACAAAGGCTTTAGCCGTCGATTTCTCGCAAATAAAAGCTCACTCCTCCAAATTAACAATGCTAGCTGAAAGAGGAAACATTCCTCTACCTGTTGGTGCAATCAATTTTCATGAGTAAGCTTTTATTTGCGAGAAATCAACGGCTAAAGCCATTGTTTACAAATGCAATTACGCCCCTTTGAAATGTTGGCACTGAATTCTATTACAGTGAACCACATTATTTTAATGGATTTCTTCGCCAGTAAGTCGTCTGTCACTTCGTTTGTGGTAGTAGTGTTGCCATGTGGTACAATCCAGTAGTAGTGGTGTTGCCATGTGGTACACTGAAAAATTGCAATACACGCTAACTTGAAAGTACCGATTAATAAGTAAAAAAAGACCCATTTTTAAGAAAAGTGGCTTAACTCATTAAATGAGTAAAACCGAGTTTACTCATTAATGAGTATTCGACGAATACTTCAAAAAATGGGTATTTTGTTTTTTCTGCCCATGGGTAAAAAGTACTATTTTTTAATGTTTGCTTCATGGAGCTGCCTGTTATTAAACTTTTAACATGTTAAACTAATGAAAAAGTTAAAATTGTAAAAAAATTTCATAATTTTTATTGAACCAGAATTAATATTAAACGGATCAAAATATGTATTGATGAACATTTATCTATTTCTTATACATTCATTGACCAAACGAGGCATTAAGTAGTGCTTCCGTAAGATAGTTTTTCTCATATGATCACTGCAGGAATCAATCCGATGATGGATGCTGCTTATCGAAAACGTTCAGATAATTGAGCATGTCGTTTTCCTTCTCGAAGATCTCCGCTAATCTGGAACAGGAACACTTGTTAGAATTTTAGCATGGTTTCATGTCTTTTACTTACCTCGTAACAATTAATTATATGATTTGAGTAGTAGCTATACTGAAGATCCGAGAGATGGCGCCCCTTTAGTGGTAGGAAAATCATTTTTGCAGTATGGAGAATATCAGAAAATCCACGATTTGTGACTAAATATGCTTTCACAGAAGGAAACAAATAAACGAGTGTTTACCTTATCACCATAGTAATGTACTCGTGCAATTTTCATGCATCTAAAACTGCCCATAAAGACGATAATGTATAAAAATTGAAAATTTTCATGCATTTCCAAATGGTTTCCTACCATTCCCATATATTCGAAAGTGACTGGCCCTCTGGATGTGGATGATGTCAAAGACAACAAAACATGATTAATTGGAACTGCCGTCCAAAGCACTATTTTACTGTGCTCGTTTTTAGCCTTAACGAACATCGGCCGAAAGGAATTCACTGGCTCAATCACATCTACGTTGTGTGATCTTATAATAACAGCACTAATCCGAGCATTTTTACCGAGAATTTCGACCGATTTGCAAGAATGACAAGACATTTCACAATCTGAATACTCCGCCCTAATAAAAATTGTATGGTTAATTTGCTTAACGACGTGTTCTGGGTATCATCCAAACCATTTATGGAATAGTTCAATGATTTGGGTTATCGTTCGTTTATGGTTATTTTTTATTAGGGCGTGCTTTTAGTTTTCAGTTCATCAGACTGTTGACAATGATTGTTATTATTACTCATTTTTTCTGCCTTAAGATATTTTCAAAAATGAAGAAAAAATACCCTTTTTAATCTTTATGAAAATACCCATTTTTTGACATATAAGAACAAATATAAAAAATGAGTACAAGATACTCATTAAATGTGAACTTTCGAGTAAGCGTGTGCTATTGCAATTTTTCTGTGTACCACATGGCAACACCACTACTACTGGATTGTACCACATGGCAACACTTTCTACTGGATTGAACTAGCATTTTCACCAAATGTACTAGAATGTTTTGGTTCTATCTCTTTCACTCTACTCAAAACTGAAATGCATAAAAAAAAATGACAAAATGATACGCACTCTTTGCACCACAAACGAAGTGACAGACGGAGCGGCTCGAAAACTTTGGTGACGCACCTGCTATTGCAATTTTTCAGTGTACCACATGGCAACACCACTACTACTGGCTTGTACCACATGGCAACACTACTAATGGATTGAACCACATGGCAACACTAAATGTACTAGAATGTTTTGGTTCTATCTCTTTCACTTTACTCTAAACTTAAATGCATAAAAAAATGACAAATTGATACACTCTTTGCACAAAGATCATATTGCATACAAAATCAACTATGTTCAAATCAAAACAAAAATACTAGCCCATCTGGTGGCTGATGGCACAAGCTTATAAGAAAATTCTATTACAGTGAACCACATTATTTTAATTGATTTCTTCGCCAGTTAGTCGTCTGTCACTTCGTTTGTGCTTTGCAGACTGTCAAAGAATCATTGTACACAAAATCAACTTTGAGCAAAACCAAAACAAAAATACTATCCCATCTGGTGGATGATGGCAGAAGCTTCTAAGAAAATTCTATTACAGCGAACCACATTATTTTAATTAATTTCTTCGCCAGTTAGTCGTCTGTCACTTCGTTTGTGGTATTAATATTTCAAATGTGTTTCAATACACGAAGGATTTTTGCAATGAACTAAGCTTTATTTTTTTAATTACAGGCAAAGGGAGATAGAAGAAATGTCATCGCATTAAAAATTAAACATTTTTTGTATCATTGATTAATAATATGATTTATTCACTACGTTTGGAGATATAACATTGCTATACTTTTTGATATAATATTGTATAAATGTAAATATTTCCTACTAGTCTCATTTGCCGCTAAAGGTGAATTATTGTTAAGTTGGGTATTAAGTGTATTCGAGGACATTTTAAACATTCAGAATTCACAGCTGTTTGTAGGACAATTCGGATTTGTAGTTATAGATGCCTGGAAAAAGTGCTTAAGTGTTCAATATTTTATTTATGATGTATGTGAGGTCTAATGACGATAAAGCATGCCTAGAAAGTACCTTTACTGTAATAAACAAGTCAAAACTTATTATTGTTTCCCTGTTTCTTTTCATTCGTTCCTTCTATCTATAAGTTACACTTATTCAGCTTGCTTGATCCTTATTCTGATAGACTTGCAATATTTATTGTATTGATTTTAGCAGAATATTTCAAATAAAAGTGATTTATTTCTATTCACATGGTTCACATTGTACAATTATTGAAACTGTGTTCAAAATATAAAAACAAAATACTGCGTATATTCGTTTCCAGCGTGCCGTTCAGTGGTAACAGCTAATGGTGTAATGCTTTGTGTTACTTTTTGTTTCATGCTGCATTGGCTAGATACATCCGTGATTATCAATCCGAACATTTGTTCCATTGAGTATTGATGTACAATCCAGCGAATTCAATTCTTTCACTCTAGCTTACCTTCAAAATGCTGTTTCCTTGGGACCTATTCCAAGGCTGGTAACAAATTCACGTGTTTGAGTATCTAAATATATTGCATTCTAATGATTATAATGTGGGAATCGTTGTGAAATCTGTAGAAAAAAAAAATGATTTGAATATCGTTACGGCAAAAACGAAGTGACAGACGACTAACTGGCGAAGAAATCAATTAAAATAATGTGGTTCGCTGTAATAGAATTTTCTTAGAAGCTTGTGCCATCATCCACCAGATGGGATAGTATTTTTGTTTTGGTTTTGCTCAAAGTTGATTTTGTGTACAATGATTCTTTGACAGTGTGCAAATCACAAACGAAGTGACAGACGGAGCGGCTCGAAAACTTTGGTGACTAACCTTCTATTGCAATTTTTCAGTGTACCACATGGCAACACCACTACTACTGGATTGTACCACATGGCAACACTACTATTGGATTGAACTAGCATTTTCACCAAATGTACTAGAATATTTTGGTCTATCTCTTTCACTCTACTCAAAACTTAAATGCATAAAAAAATGACAAAATGATACGCACTCTTTGCACACTGTCAAAGAATCATTGTACACAAAATCAACTTTGTTCAAATCAAAACAAAAAAACTAACCCATCTGGTGGATGATGGCACAAGCTTCCAAGAAAATTCTATTACAGTGAACCACATTATTTAAATGGATTTCTTCGCCAGTAAGTCGTCTGTCACTTCGTTTGTGGTGCAAAGAGTGTATCATTTATTCATTTTTTTTATGCATTTCAGTTTTGAGTAGAGTGAAAGGGATAGAACCAACAATCAATACGAAACTAACGATTTTAAATTGGCTCACCACTTTAGTAGCCTATTGGTCCCAAGCAAACGATTAACGTACCCTATTCTAGTCGAAATTCTAGTACTACACAATGTTTGTTTTGATTCGCTATGAATGTTTGATAGATAAAATGAGGGGTTATTGGTTTTTCCTATGTTTCGAGGGGTGATTCGACAAGCTTGGGACCGAAGATAGTACCAGAGGTGAGCCAAAAAGTTGAGCACGTTTCTTCGGGACCTACTTGTCTTAGAGTTACCTCTATGATAGAACCAAAACATTCTAGTACATTTGGTGAAAATGCTAGTTCAATCAACAATCAATACGAAACTAACGATTTTAAATTGGCTCACCACTTTAGTAGCCTATTGGTCCCAAGCAAACGATTAACGTACCCTATTCTAGTTGAAATTCTATTACTACACTATGTTTGTTTTGATTCGCTATGAAAGTTTGACAGATAACATCAGGGGTGTGTGGATTCATGCAGAACATGCAGGAGTGAGTGAAATAGCTTGGGACTGCTTGGGACCGTTGTTCTGGTACTGAGTGAGCTAAAAATAATAATGATTTTCTTCGGGACCCAGTGGTCTTAGAGTTACCTCTATGGTTCAATCCAGTAGTAGCATAGAGGTAACTCTAAGACTAGAAGGTCCCGAAATAACGTGCTTAACTTTTTGGCACAGCTCTGGTACTCTCTTCGGTCCCAAGCTAAATGATTCACCCCTCGAAACATAGGAAAAACCAATAACCCCTCATTTTATCTGTCAAACTTTCATAGCGAATCAAAATAAACATTGCGTCGTACTAGAATTTCGACTAGAATAGGGTACGTTAATCGTTTGCTTGGGACCAATAGACTACTAAAGTGGTGAGCCAATTTAAAATCGTTAGTTTCGTATTGATTGTTGGTAGTAGCACAAACGAAGTGACAGACGGAGCGGCTCGAAAACTTTGGTGACTAACCTTCTATTGCAATTTTTCAGTGTATTACATGGCAACACCACTACTACTGGAAATGAGGGGTTATTGGTTTTTCCTATGTTTCGAGGGGTGATTCGACAAGCTTGGGACCGAAAGTACCAGAGGTGAGCCAAAAAGTTGAGCACGTTTCTTCGGGACCTACTTGTCTTAGAGTTACCTCTATGCTACTACTGGATTGAACTAGCATTTTCACCAAATGTACTAGAATGTTTTGGTTCTATCTCTTTCACTCTACTCAAAACTGAAATGCATAAAAAAAATTACAAAATGATACACTCTTTGCACACTGTCAAAGAATCATTGTACACAAAATCAACTTTGTGCGAAACCAAAACAAAAATACTATCCCATCTGGTGGATGATGGCACAAGCTTCTAAGAAAATTCTATTACAGCGAACCACATTATTTTAATTGATTTCTTCGCCAGTTAGTCGTCTGTCACTTCGTTTGTGCTTCTAGTCTTATAGCGAATTCGTTTATTATCGGGGTTGGAACCAGTTCCAACCCAGTGCGAAACCGAACTTTTTGTCAGTGCGAACCTCAACCTGAGCTGGGTTTTAAAAACAAACGATCAAACTGACGTTTTTCAGAAAACAAGCAGTCCCAATCTTGATACCCGATCCAGGTTGGAACTGAATAATAAACGAATTCGCTATTAGAGTTACCTCTATGGTAGGGCTATGATGTAAAATAATTACCTTATCCATATGTTTTCCCAAAGCTGATCGTGCAGCTTTCATCAGTTCAGGGTTCTCGGCTAGCGTGTCAGCTAGAGCTGCAAGAAGCACATCTGTAATGTAAGTCCGGTTTGTTAGAATCTATGTGGATATAAACTTATCCCTTGATGACATACCGAGGATCTTCTTTTGTAGAATGGGTGAAATTCGTCCATGACTGCCTTCTGATTCCAGGAATTCTGTAAGCTTCTGCAACGCATGTTGTGCCGGTTCCGAGCCACGCGTCAATGATTGTGTGAACATAACCTTCGCCAGTTGATAGATAACTTCTTCCAGCGAGTATTCAGCGTACAGAAAATCAGCCAACCTTAATCGTCCTACCACGTCATCGTAATCCTGTGTGGAGTCTGCAGAGATATGCAACATTTTGATTTAGAATAAGTTAGATCTTAGGCATCATAAATAATTTTTTACCAGTCTGTTCACTGATATCATTCAGCTTTAGTAGACTTGGCAACCGTTCGATGACCTTCAAGATTTCAGGAGCCAGTGTTGCTGGTTGACCAACCCCACTGTTGGCCACCACTGATTCTGTATGCATAGCAACTGTGGTTGGCACTTCAGTGACGGTCGTTCCCGTAGTACTGACGTCAATTCCACGTTCAGTATTCGAATGTGGATCTGCTGATTTTAGAGGGCGGCTTGAATATGTATTCTGAAGATAATCAATTCCCAGACGAATGTCACGCAAAAATTTTATGGCATTCTCTCGGGTCATCTGCAATTGGTAAAAGGCTTTAACTGTAAACTAGCTGAATTAAGAAATTAACGGAAACATACCAGTCCCTTTTGGATTAATTCTTCGACTGCCCGAGCTACACCGGCTTCATCTCCTGTCCAGAAAACATATTGGGCCATGTCGAACGCTGAATACTGGCCACCACTGTGTCGTAACAATACCTCAGCATGCTAAATGAAAATAATTTTATTGATCAGTAAATGCGTAAAATTTGTGAATAGGTGAATGCAATATGTAGGAAATTTGAATAAAATACAAAATTCAAGCAAGTTATCCCGAATCAATATACTGGCTTAAAACCTTCATGAGATTATATTCTAGCCGCAGCAAGAATCGCAGTGCATTTGAATAAACAAACTTTGTTCAAAAACATAACTAACATAAAAATTACAAAATTGTATAAAATACTTTTCGTCGATCCATATTAAAGAATCTGTTCATGAGGTGAAACATTTAAAATTCTGTATACTTTTAATGCAAATCTGTCATATTGGCTTTATTACACCCCCACTGGGACTTACGCCAGCTCTCAAATCAACTTAGCACTTCCACAGTTGTTAGTTGAGAGAAAGCTGTATAATTTTTGTAAAAGTAGACATATATAATGCCGGATAAATCGAAAAAAATTCCAACCCGAAAATTCCTACACGAAACAAAAATTAAATTTTTTTTTTTCATGGGTTTCAATCATACATTTTTGCCAAAACATTAGCCTTATACCGAAGACAACATATCAAGAAGACTGGCAACTTTTCCATTTTCTCAAACGAACGGTATGAGACAGGCACAATCACGTCATCTACCGCTCAAAGGTAAATACTTCGAACGGATTGGATAGCAAAGGTTCCATCCTCAGAAGAAAGGTTTGTGTATTTGCTCATTTTTCTATGCGTTGCTTCCACCTTCGCTGTTGCCTTCGCTTATACCACAAACTGACAGACGACTAACTGGCGAAGAAATCAATTAAAATAATGTGGTTCGCTGTAATAGAATTTTCTTAGTATGTACGATTACCCCGAATACAACGTATGACTTGTCTAATTTTGCATAGCATTTGCAATGTAAAATTACACGAACTATTCATTGTTTCTAAGAAAATTCTATTACAGCGAACCACATTATTTTAATTGATTTCTTGGCCAGTTAGTCGTGTGCCACTTCGTTTGTGATACGATGATACGCTAAAAGGCTTATTCAGCTATAATTTTTGTTGGGAATAGACCTTTTCATCGAATTTTACTTACATCTCCTCGTCGCTGGCCGTTATTGGTATGGGAAGCGCCATCCTGCTCATGATTGGGGATTTCTTCAGGTTGTGAGGGTGGTGTAGCTTTAGGAACAGTGGGGGTTGTCGTGATCTCTGAACCATAATGTTGACCAAAGGTAAGCCGTGCGGCTCCGGGTAATAACTATTTCAATAAATTAAGAAATATTTAATGTTTTTAGTTTCACAAGTGACTACTATAATTATATACACTATTTAAATCAATACTTAAATCACAAACGAAGTAGAATGATTGATGTGCATCCTCATGGATGTAATATTAAAATTTATTTTTTGCTGTGTTCATGATTTAAAGTTCACATGTTCTATAACAAAACATTTTGCAATCGTGTTGCAGTGCTTATTTGTCCAGTTTAGTGTGAAATGCGCAATAAATCTTATGAGTGATTAAACGTCTAAACGAGAACTATTTCTTTGATTATTTTTCAATTCCATGTGTGAACCCAAGAAGGCTCTGCCCATAGAGGCAACTCTAAGACTAGTAGGTCCGGAAGAAACGTGCTCAACTTTTTGGCTCAGCTCTGGTACTATCTTCGGTCCCAAGCTAATCGATGCACCCCTCGAAACCTGGGAAAATCAACGAACCCCTCATTTTATCTGTCAAACTTTCATAGAGAATCAAAACAAACATAGTTTAGTACTAGAATTTTGACTAGAATGGGATACGTTAATCGTTTGTTTGGGACCAATAGGCTAGTCAAGTTGTGAGCCAATTTCAAATCGATAGTTTCGTATTGATTGTTGCTCTGCCAGTGCACGGTTCGTTTTGTTTGCACTGTCATATTTTTTCTCCTGTTTTCCGCGTGTAAAAGAATTAAAATAAGCTTTGTTACCACGGAATTTTAGTCTTTGGCCAAACCAGGGTTGCTTCCACTCACTTGCTATAAAAAAATTGTTTTTCGGAATTATGACATAATTAGATGTTATAATGGTTATTAGTACTTGAAATTTAAAATAAGGGGTCGTGAAGTATGTATTTGACACATAAAACCGGTCAATATTGCTTTCAGTGCGCCACAATCAGCGCTTTTACGATTCGTGAGCGCTCACCCTGAGTGAACGCTCACGAATCATTATATCTGTGATGATGACGCTCTGAAAGCAAAATTGACTGGTTTTATGAGTCAAACACACACTTTTCACCCTCTTCTTGTTACTTGCAAGCACAACATATCATTTTATCATCTAATGATTTCATTATTCCGAAAAAAACAATTTTTTATAGCAAGTGAGTGGAAGCAACCCTGGGCCAAACCTACGAGAAAAAGCAGAATTTATTTTCTGGTATTAATAGTAGGTAGTAAGAACTAGAGTAGAATTAACACAGAGATGTACCGTTTTTTGCGGATGGAGGTTTAGTCGGTATTCTTTTTTCTGGATTCCTTGATAACTGGTTTTGGTACTTGTTGGCCTATCCCATTAGGCCAGCGCGCTCACCTTCAACGTCGGCATACATTGCGAACCGACAGCATCGAACGCCGCCCGGTGGCCGCTCCGAAAACGACAGAGTGACAGGTTTGGAGTACTGTCACCATTGGTGAGTAGAGAATAAGACAAAGCCAAAACAAAAGGTAGTCATAGAAAGGTTGATAGTCAAACGTCTATAACATTCAGCTTAATCTAATTAAATACTACATATAAATAATTAAACTAGTACCTAATATCTATAGCGGCTGGTAAGTCTAATTGTTCTTAATCTAAGTTGTGAACTAAACAAAGTTTCTTAAAATTAGGGATTTGATACGTGTTGCTTGCTGGTGAATTTGTGCTACGGCTCGAACAATTGAACTAGCCGTTGATACTGGTAAGGAAAATTGAAAAAAAGGAACATGAAACAATACACATTCTTAACCTAACTTAATTTACTTAGGACCTACCTCTAGTAAACTACATGCTAGACTAAAACTAGATCCTGGACTAAAAAGGGATACTAAACGTAAGTAAATATGATCTAAACTTACATCTAGGGCCTAAACAACTGAGAACAATGAATGCGTTGTAAAATGAAAAATGTTACGCAAACTTACATCTATCTTACAATCTAAATAATGTGGAACAAACTTACATATATCTTACGTTCTAATGAATGTAAAGAAAACTAAGTTCCTTTGCTAAGCCAATTTATCTTAATATTTAAACTAATATGTACTTAAATTGTCATTTGACAGGAAAATTATATTCTCGTTCACTCTACAACAATCGGATCGTGCGTTCCATTTCGTTTCCGGCCGAGAATTATAATTTTGGAAATCCCCTTTCGTTGAATTAAAATTCAATATAATATAATTTTCGTTTATATACCGAAACAGTCAACCCGCGAGCATGTCGAGTCGAGGTTCAAAGTCCGATAAGCAAAGTAGCAAGGGTGAGGCACCCAAACCGAAAGAAAGTGATGTGGTTAAAGATGGTGAAAAGAACGGTGATGATGATGGTAGTGATGATGTGGTACTGGTGGATGAGGTGGAGAAAACTGTCGATGGACAAACCTGTAGGGGCTGTGGAGGACCTGACACTGATGACATGGTTCAATGTGATGAGTGCGACGGATGGCATCACTACGACTACGTTGGAGTAACGGATGAAGTTGTCAACCAGAGCTGGAGTTGCACCAACTGCAAGACCGCAAAATGGATCCAGCGAACTACGCCGACTTCGAAGAAACAATCAACACAGAAAGATGCCAGGAAGGAGCTCACACCCAAACGTACTTTGTCGGTCAAGGAAGTCTCAGAAACGACGCTTGTTCGCGATGGCAAATCTAAGAAGTCCACTCATTCCGAGCCGCTACTACCGTCGGAGAAGCAGAAGAAACCAGAAGCCATGGAACGAAAGGAGAAATTGTTCGTACCGTCATTGGAAGGTCTCCCTGAAATCCAGCTAATCAAGGCGTTTTCGGAAGTTTCTTGTACGTCATCGCAGAGATCTGGGCGAAATCGTGCCAAGTTACAGTTGTTGAGGCTGCATGAGGAAAAGGAATTCGAAGAACGGCAAGCACAACGACGCAAGCAGGAAGAGCAGGAGGAAGCGGAGCGTCGACAGTTAGCAGAAGAGAAAGAAGCAGAACGTCAACGGGTGGCTGAACATGAAGAAGCAGAAAAACACCGAGCATACCTAGCCAAGAAGTACAAGATTTTGGAGGACCTGGCTAGTGAAAATGGATCAAGTCGTAGTTCTGGTTCTATAATCTCACGAAGCCGGGTGGATGAATGGGTCGAAACGACCAATTGTGTACAATCGGAGATTGCTAGGTGTACACCCGATCCCGCCCATCAAGATCGAGCTTTGCAGGAGCAAAAACAGCACGAAAAGTTACTTCATAATCACCATCAGCAGCAGCAACAGCAACAACGAATGCAAGAGGAGCAGTTACAGCGGCAACGAAGGGAGGCGTTTCGGCAGTATCAACAGCGGCAACGTGAAGAACAGCTGCAACAGGAGAAACGCGTGCAAGAGCAACAACAGCAGTTGCATCAAGAAGAAGAACGCGTCAACCAATTGTTGGAGCAACAGTTGGAACAGGAAATACGTTTGCAGGAACGACAAGCGAATCGTATTCCATCTCGTAATCTGGAACCTTCCAGGCATATTCCAGAGCTGCAGCCCAAATCTCAACCAGCAAAACGTGGATCGCATAACCCTTATCGGGACTTGGTGCATGGGCATTCCGGACACTTCAGTCCAGATACTCTGCCTCAGTCAACACAAGTGCAAATCGACCACCCGAGCAGTTGATGCAAATCGATCGACCCACGCTGTATCTCGTGTCACACGTGCCCCAAGATCTTCGGCAAGCCCCACGCCAATGGATGACTACGATCAGTTCCAGCTTTCACGCTCACAAATTGCGGCACGGCAAGCTGTTTCGAAGGACTTGCCTACGTTTTCCGGCAATCCAGAAGAATGGCCGATCTTCTTATCCATGTTCAATAGCACGACAGCTATGTGTGGATTCTCGGAAGAGGAGAACCTGGTGCGACTGCAAAGGAGCTTGAAGGGGAAAGCTCACGAGGCCGTCAAGTGCAGACTGATGCATCCCGGTAACGTACAAGGAATTATGGATACGTTGCGGATGTTGTACGGTCAACCAGAAGTCATTGTTCACTCGCTGATTGGGAAGATAAGCTCACTACCAGCTATTCGAGAGGATCGACTGGAAACGTTGGTGGATTTCGCAGTGAGCGTACAGAACTTTTGCGCTACAGTTGAGTCATGTGGTTTGGAGGAGTATATGTACAACATCACTCTGTTGCACCAGCTTGTCAGCAAACTACCACCAACAAACAAGCTCAGTTGGGCTCAACATCAGAAGACGCACCTGACAGTCAACTTAGCGATCTTCGGCGAATGGGTTTACACTCTAGCGGAAGCAGCAAGTTCGGTAACGTTTCCTACCGTATCGCTGGAAGCAAAACCTGGCCACAGCGATATTCGTCGGAGCAAAAAAGGAGACAGTTATCTTAACGCACACTCTGAGTCTACGGTTCCTCACAACCCGAAACCCAATACGTCCACAAAAGCGGCAGTAGATCTTCCACCAACACCCACCAAGGAGACGTGTTTAGTATGCAAAGGGAGCTGCAAATCTGCGGACAAGTGCAAGCAATTTGGAGAGTTGTCCAGGGATTCCAGGTGGGCCGTAGTCAGGGAGTTTGGACTCTGCCGCACATGCCTTCGCCAACATAAGGGAAACTGCAAGGCCAAACCTTGCGGCAAAGACGGATGCACATATAGGCATCACGAACTGCTACACAACGACCAGAACAGGAAAACTGAAAACAGCAACACTCCGAGCGGAAGCCACCAATCGTCTCAACCTGAAGCTAGTAGCTCCGGATATCGTTGCAATACACATCAGACAACATCAAGCTCTGTGCTGTTCCGCTACCTCCCGGTAGTGCTTTCAGGATTAGGGAAGGAGGTACACACCTATGACTTTCTGGACGAAGGTTCTGCGCTGACACTGCTCGATCAAGAACTGGCCGATGAGCTCAACTTAAGTGGAACTTCGAGTCCACTCTGCCCACGATGGACTGGGGGAACTCAACGCCACGAGAAGAATTCTCGTATTGTCAAGCTTCACATTGCTGCAAGACATCACGAAGCCAGGAAGTTCCAGCTAGACGA